GTGTATGTGTGTGTGTGTATGTGTGTGTATGTGTATGTATGTGTGTGTGTGTGTATATGTATATGTATGTATGTGTGTGTGTGGAATGTGTGATGATTTTATTTCTAGGGTGAGGTTCTGGATCTGTGGAATTCAGGACCCTGTCAGCAACCACCCCTGTGCCTCCAATCCCATGCAAGTCTACGCTCACTGGAATTACCTGGGCAAACCATAATCCACATCTATTTAGCCTGTCCTCACCTTCACAGGACCTGACTTCACTGGCGGATGAAGCCTGCGAGCCAGATGGTACACACTACTGGGAATTCTAATGAGCAGTTAAACTTGAGGGCTTCTCTCACCCGCTTCCTCTGACTCTCTGGGGCTGATCTCTCCTGGCCTCATCCCCACACAGAAGGGCACATCACAGGAGGATGCTGTGAAGACAGCTGGCAGGGCTGACCCTGCTCACCTCCCATCAGGTCAGAGCCCCAGCTGTCTGAGGCCAGAGCTGTCTTTGTTTCAGTCTCTTGACTTTCAACCCCATGGCTTTTTCTTCATTGCCCATTCTAGATGTAGCTATGAAAAACAAGTAACAAAAACATACGCTGTTCTTGGCTCAGTTGAGATAAGGCTGGCATTTCAAAAAATAAAAGATCTTTTCTCAAGAACTAGGCAAAAGGAAGCAGAACACACAAAGGAACCCAGGGAATGGATTTAGAATTTTTAGGTTTCTAATCGGAACCTATTTATGCTCAGTTCAGACAGTGTTTCCCAAGATCATGACTTCAGGGCTGGAGAGACATCTTGGTGGGTAAGAGCACTTGCTACCCTCACAGAAGACCCAGGTTCAGTTCCCAGGGCCCATATGGTGACTCACAATCATTTGTAACTCCAGTTCCTGACACCTTCTTCTGGACTCTTTCAGGTACACACATGGTGCACATACATGCAGGCAAGCACTCGTGCACATAGAATAAAAATAAAGAGAGAAAAAAAGATCCTGGCTTCAACTCTGCCCCAAGTGTTAATTGGGATTACTGTATGAACCCAAGGAAGAAGACTGAGTCCATCCTTAGGTAGAGGTCCTGAGTCCATCCTTAGGTAGAAGTTCTGAGTCAATCCTTAGGTAGAGGTCTTGAGTCCATTCTTAGGTAGAGGTCATGAGTCCATCCTTAGGTAGAGGTCTTGAGTCCATCCTTAGGTAGAGGTCATGAGTCCATCCTTAGGTAGAGGTTCCGGGTCCATCCTTAGGTAGAAGTCCTGAGTCCATCCTTAGGTAGAGGTCATGAGTCCATCCTTAGGTAGAGGTCATGAGTCCATCCTTAGGTAGAAGTCCTGAGTCCATCCTTAGGTAGAGGTCTTGAGTCCATCCTTAGGTAGAGGTCTTGAGTCCATCCTTAGGTAGAGGTCTTGAGTCCATCCTTAG